CTGTATGGAAGTTTGATCATTTGTCGATTCTAAAGAATCGAAGGGGGGAATGTGGTATATTTTCATGTACTACTGTCTCTTTAAGACGGGAGCGCGCTTTCAAGCGGACACGCGCTCTTTGTTCAGAGTCCCAGTGACCAGCACGCTGTACGGATCTCTTTTCCACCTCTCTCGTCAATAAACATGTCCAGAAGCTGAAGAAATCGTCTTTTCGTCATTCAAGTGTTAGCAGAAGAGTTTCTTTAACAGTAAAAAAGGTTCCAGCAAGTAGACGACGACAAGACGCTCTCTGATTTTCATCAACCCACCAGAAAAGCAGCAGCGACCAGACGGAGACGAGACGAAGAGGGTCCAGCAACCGACAAGGCCCAGCAGAACCGGACCGAGACACAACACCACTCCAGGACCTTAAGATGTTTCCTACGGAGCCACTCTTTAGTTGCCCTGGCTGTGTGTTTTGGGTCGTTATCATGCTGGAAGACCCAGCCACGACCCATCTTCAGTGCTCTTACTGAGGTTAGCTTCTTAGCTTAGCCTCCTTCACAGTGGAGCTAGCACTTGCGGCCAACCGATCCGATCATTTTAAACTTCAGCAGAGGCCACGCTTCCAGCAAGAATCACTTCTCTATAGCCAAGAGTCCAGACCCTCGTACGAAGCAAAATGAAGGACAAGGGTCTGGTTTTTACCTGGCTAGATTTTAGCTAAATATCTGTAAAACTGACTGATTGTAAAAAAACAAAAAACAAATGCCGTTTGTTATGGTAGCCATCTTGAAATGGGTTGACTCTAAAAGTAGTAGACGTTCATCCAGTGGTTGCTTAGAGTCAGATGTTTAAATATTTGTGTTAAATAAGTTCAGGAATTCCTGTGCTGGTTTATTTCCATGTTTTTAATTGCTGGATGTTCGGCCCCTGAGCGRTAACTGTGGSCCCYGGAACAATTTAGCTGAATATCCCTGATATATACAGTGATAAGTTCTAATAGAAGAACGGTGGATTGCTCTACCTTCCCTCGTCTCCGTGAACCTTCAGCCATCTGTGTGTCTGAGCAGAGGAGAGCAGCTGTTGGTTCCAGCTGGACCACCCAGCACCTGCCTGGCATCACTGTTTACAAAGCATTAACACTCAGCTAATGACCTTAAACACAGCAGTTAGTGGAGATGGGCTCATCCAATCCTTGGAAAACCTCAGAGTTGGGCTGGAGCGTGTGCAAATATTGAATTTAAATACTTCTTATTTTCCATCCTTAAGGTTTTAAACATCACTTCTGTACTCTCACCACAAAAACATCTACCGCTTTATTGCTGTAATGGGTTTCAGTTTTTACCCACGTCCACTAGAAGCACGTTGTGAATGTTTTAACATCGTCTCCCAGGAGGACGCTGGATGTAAAGATTCACTCGGATGTTTTCCTGTTAAATCTTTCATCCAACATCTTATTCCTCCCTCCCCAGGTGCTGAAGTCCCTCCCGTGTATCGAGGGGCGCCCCGGAGCCTCTCTGCCTCCGATGGACTTCAAGGCTCTGGAGGAGGGGCTTCGGGCCGCCCACGGCAACGACATCAGCCCCGAGGATGTGATGTCGGCCGCCATGTACCCCAAAGTGTTCCAGGAGTTCAAGGAGTTCACAGGTGAGTGAGGAAGAGGAGTTATTATTTATTATTATTATTCTTCATTGGTATTACTGTAGGCTGAAATGGAGCTGTTTGGTGGGAATGTTTTTAATAGTTTATTTTATGAGCACTAAAAGAAATAATGATGCAGATTGCAGGAAGTAATGTGTAAGATTAAACTGTGAAGGCTCTCAGGAAATCTGAGCGAAGCAGCTTYGGTAACGTTCAGCTTCCTGGATTAACTCCAGCTTTATTGGTGCTTCCAGAAGCAGAGYGGTGCTGGTTTTAAACTGCTCTACTGCCCCTTCATGAGGAGCTTTAAGCAGCACGCAGCCTTTTCTTCATTACTTCAGTTAAAGATCTACACAACCATAAAACTCATGGGCCTTTTTTAAAGCACATATTTCGCTTTTGTTACATTTTTTCAGATTTTTTTAAATGTTTGTTTGCTTTAAAACGTGCAGGAGACGGTTTGGACATCAGCTAATCTTATTTACATACTTTAATTACACCTTTAAATTTAATTTATCTCCATTTTTCAAACATCTTTAACATGAGAGAGATCAGAGTTTAAACCTGAACTGGATCTAACAGGTTTGTTTGTTTATAGCTAACTTTGGTCCTGTGGACTGTCTCAGCACCAGGCTGTTCCTGGATGGGCCCAAGATCGCAGAAGAGTTTGAGGTAATCACATTAATATCATTTGTGTTTGTTTTTTAACCTGCCAAAGATTGAAATGTAAATTCGTCAGGGTCATAAGTTTCATTCTGCGTTTAAATTAACAAAACTGAAGTTATACTTTGCAGTTTATGATCAGAACAAGCAGATATTTTGGGTTTGGTTTAACTCCAAATTGCACTCTTGTAACTTCCTCTGTCACTAAGATTATCAAAGACATTTAATCATACTTTAAGGTACTCAGTGCAAACTATGAAATCAAACATTAAAAATGTAAAAAAAAAAGTTGAGTGGGTCGTCTGGACCAGTYATACCTCAGAGACACAGAGCAGCTACTGTTCAAAGGGATGGCCCAGCACAGAAGGACTACATCATCAGACCAGGACTCTGACCACTGGTCTGTAGATGAGTGTGAACTGCTCTCCTTCAGGGWTGAAGTTGTTCTCATCCTTGATAGAGAGGAACGTTGGTTTGGGAGAGGTGTAAAAAAATTTTGTGAAGGATAAAAACTTCATTCATTAAATGGGGAGGAGGGTCGAGGCTCTGTTTACACACTGCTGTTAAGTGAAACTGTAGCATTTCTGCTGTGTGTGCTGTGGCCTGTTTGTGTAATTTTTCCAATTTTTGACAATTTCTTATACCAGCATTGACCATGAACTACATCTCCCATAATGCATGTTGATTATTTTACCCACAAAATGACAGCATCCCAGGAGGAGCACAGGGTTCAGAAGGAGCTGGCAGCTGGAGAGATTCAGTGTTTAAATCTGCATTTAGCTGTGTTTTCACTGGCTACTTTTGCTGCGGCCCAGTTATAGTCGGGAGTGGGAATTTCCCACTTACAAGTTGTAGATTTAAACTGGAATGCACCTCAAGTGGGAATTTCCTGTGGGAAAGTGTGAGTTCAGAATTCAGTAGGTAGAACTCTTTAGTATTTCTGTATTTATTTCACAGTCAGTTGTACACAAATCACTTTCCTGTGTTTGAGTGTTAAAACACTGTTTCTATGCAGGAAACACCACATAGAGCTCAGTTAGTAACTATGCTCAGGAACGAGACGTTTGGTGTTTAGTTGAAGTTAATTACACCTGGTCCTTTGAGGGCCACCATAACCCTCGATGAAAACGAGTTTAACACTCTTGTATTAGATGATCCTAACTGTTCTACTGAACCTCTCTAAAATGATACTTTCAGTCCCGGACCACCAAAACATCACATCTTTTTCTGAGGTGGGTTTCAGTTTCATTGTGTGTTTTAGTTTGTGGCTCTTCAACAGAGAAATCAAGCTGTGATTATTAAAACATTTTGAGCTTCAGAAGTCTGTGTGGATAAATTGATTGAATTCTGACTTTTCTCACACTTTGAGTTGATTAATTCCACCTGTGACAGACGTAAGTTTATTTTCTCGGGTTAAATTTAGTCTTTTTGAAGATCTTTTGTGCACAGACAAAAATTTAGTTTCTTCCTCGCAGCGTTCARGGCGTCTTTTACCAGCATCAGGTATTCTTCATTCATCAGAGAGCTGTTCCTCCCACACATTTTCCCCTTTATTTGTTTTGATTTTATTTTGTTTGTTTGTTTTTTCTCATCAGGAGTCGTTGAAAGATTTGAGTGACAGAGTGGTGAAGGGCAGCTCTGTTTAATTACTGCAGCGGTTTCCGGCTGGTGTTGATTGATTCTTTTTATTAGGAACACTCACTTTATTATCAAAAAAAAGTGATTGCGTTACTTTAGTATTGACTCTGGATGGACAGACCCCCCACCATTCCCACCTCCCACAGCAGTTTATTAAATCTGTGAAGCTCCTGTTTGACGTATAAGCTGGTTCTCTCCCTTCAGATTCCTCCAACAGACTAAATAACAGTCTGAGGTCGGTCTGTCTCCATGTTTTATTATCATTAAACCCTCCTCCAATCACAGTGTTCATTACTGTTTTACTGCCTGAATACAAAGGCTTCAGATTAGGCCTGTCGCGATAGTCAATAAATCAATTAATTGCACGATAACTTTTTTTGAGGTCGGTTAAAAAAAAAGACAGCG